TTCTTATCCTCTCCCCATGGTAGACACGGCACCATATCCAACGGCAAATTTCGAATCGGTAGGTACTGCCAATCCCAATCACCAGGCCACTTGTTCTTGATCTCTGGCGGCGGGCACTTGTAGAATCGACGACGTGGTGGAACCTCAATTTTCTGAACATCTGAGACCACAGGTTTGGACTCGTGCTCCACCAGCTGGGCACCTTCTGGCACCAGCGGAACCCATCACCAAGTTGTACTTGGGGTTAATTTCTTGAATGCCTCACTTGGCAAAATGTGTGTATGATACTTTTTGATAAGATCGACAATCGGCTTCCAATCCTCTTCTTTGTAGGTGGCCGTGGACCAACAGGCGTCATTCAAATCAATATGAAGACGTGTTTTTCCGGCGTAACGGACCACCTTTTGGGTCTTGCAAGTCCCGGGTTTGGAACAAGTGCAATGGCCCTCAAAGGAGGAATCTAAACAAATTGGATGCTTACCAGTAGTACGCTTTGCCTTTGGATCCACAATAGAAGGATAGGTGCCTCTCTGGACCACCGGATACAGCTTGTCCAAAGGCAATTTATGTCCCAAAGGATTGGCTGCATGATTCCAAACAAACAACGGACTTGTGTTCTTAAAAGGGACATTTTCTTTATCATCACAAGTAGGCTTCAACTTTGGTACATCTGGATGTTTAAATGGCACAGGTTTCCCAGGTGCAAAGAAAGGTGAGGAAGACATAGCCCGCGAACATTCGTTTGGAGCAGTATAACGACCAGCTCCCCAACTACGTTGCATGCAAGCATACTTGTAGTACTCATGAAGAACCGTAACCACACTCTCCGATTGTGCCATAAGACCAGTACTATTTGTACGCGCCGGTACTGACATAAAGACCGCATTACGGTCTTTTGTGGGCCAGGCATCACCAATACCATAGTTTTCCACATCATGGCCAATACGATGGTCAACAAACTTCTTCAAGAGATAGGCGAGAACAGTTCACTCAAATCACGAAAGTACGCAGCAGTACACTGCGCCGGCGTCTGATCCCACCGATGTCCCAAGTTTGTGTTTTGAACGCATTGACAGATGTATCCCAAACAATGGCCAAAAAGGTAATTCCGAAATAGTGAATTGTCATAATCACCGTTGTCCGATGTCGGATTTGTGCATCCCAAAAGTGCAAAGTGATAGTATGTCACCATGGCGAATTCTTTCATCTGCTGCCATGTAAGACCGTCACGTGGGAGATATTCAGAAGAAAGGTTTTCCGAAACGCACGGAAGGAACGCCAGCAAAGAAAATTGTTTAGATGTTCCTGGAGGTGGAGCATTGTCAGGATTCACTCCCCAAGTAGCAATATTAAAACTGCTTTTGACAAATTCACTGTTCATCACAGACCGTAGGTCACGCTGGAGTTCTCCAACTTGCGAAAAAGATCCAAATTGGTGTTTGATGCGGTACTCAAGAGCAGTGCAAACAATATTCACGGCAACTTGACCATGGTTTTTGTAATCAAAACCTTCCAGACATCGTCGTCCAATTGCAGTTGGTAATCCAAATTGGAGCACATCAGTTGCCGCTTGATCACCAAGGAAGGTACGGACCACGCCCACAGTAGGAGGAAGTGGATGCACCAACCAATATCCAATCGCTTTCAACTCTGGAGGACAACAACGACGCTCCATTTCCGAATTAATACTTGGCAAACACATGAGGGTATATTTGGACCGAGGATTCGGCTTATTGGTATGGAATGCTGGGTGGGTTGGATAATGACTCATCGGATATATCGTACCATCATACCCCGGTTGGTAAGACATTGGCAGATGCGAATGTGGATACATCTGATGTGTAGGCAGCCCTGGGGAGGCGGGAAACATCTGTTGGTCGTGCACCGGTGTGGGTAACCCCATTGCCGGTGACGTCGTGGGAGGATGACCAGCAAAAGGTGACGGACCACAAGGGGTAGAATCAATTCTGACAAGAGGACCTTGTTGAAACAGAGAATTCCATGTCGAATCATGGATCCCATCATGAGGCATACCTTGGGCTGGCAACTGGAGTGGTATGTTCGTACCGTTCATAACACCAGCAAACGGATCGCCCCTTGAAGGATTTCTGAAACAACTGGAATCTTGATGTTGGCCACGAGACGACAAAAACGAAGTGTGGCTCAGAGCAACATGATCCATTGGGCGATATGCCAAAGGAGACGGTGTCACTGCTGGCATGACTTGTCCATCAGCACGCGGTTGCATCCTGCCATGATCATCCTAGGGTACATAATTAGTACCATGTCCATCTTCAAAGTTTCCTTCCTCCGTCAAGACAAAAGAGTCTTCGGGAGCGGGGGTAACTTGCGGATGGACCAGTGATCGACGGGAATTGGGCTTGTGCCGCTTGGTAGCCTGAATGAATTCCGCAAGATTATCATCCATTGGTGGCAAAGCGGCAGCAGGTGCTTTTTGAGGCAATGTCAACCTCTGTGTAACATAATTGTCAGGATCTTGAGCAGATGACGGCAGCGGGCGAGGGGTGTATTGCAAGTACGAATCCGGAACCTCAGTTCCAGAATCTAAATCAAGCGTCTTGTACCATTTAGGGATACGACCATCCCATCCCTTGTCTTCATCCTCAAAAGGGAAGAGGTAGGTGACAAAGGCCTGACACTCAGGTGGTAAAGTAATGCCCAAGGCAGAAGGATAAGACTCCGCCACACGCATATTATGCATCCTGACCCAAGCACGCATCTTGTATATGAGTTGCATCAAGTGGCTCCGAAGGAAACGATCCATTTGTTCTTGGAATGGGGCTAGTAAGGCCACATCCAAAACACGGGCATCAACTGGGTCATGCTCAGTGGGAAAGCAAGACCAAAACGGCAGAGCAACCACCACTGGGACCGCAAAACTTGCAGGACTGGCCTTAACGGCATTGAACCAATTTTCAATGATAGTCTTCCTGGACTTCAATAGGTGAAGGGGACCATTGAATATCTTTTTCCGATTGGTAATACTCTCTTGAAAGGCCTCGAAACCATCACTTGCCGGCCAAACAAATCCCACAGGACAAACAGACATTAGGGGTTGTCAATGAACCCAACCCAACTATTTTTGGTTTATTTTTATAGACCAATAGAAATGCAGTATTTTTGCCGATATTTGACCACCCCCTTTGAAGCCACGAACCAACTATTTTTGAAAAATGCAGTAGTTTACAGTGACGTAAGATATCTCGTAGATACACTTTGCCTGCTTATTTTCCCTCCATTTTTCGGTATGGCGGACTATGACAGTGAAGGAAAAATGCCATTGATGTTGTGTACGAGTACATTCTTTTTGAAACAGCTCCCTATATCATTATGAGTACTGGAACTGTTTTGAAAACCTGTTCATACAAGAAGCGATGCTCGCAAAAGACTGATGCCCATCGTGGTCTTGTTGAATGTGCGAACTTGACGTGCCCAAAACACTTCCACACTTCCTGCTCTCAAGCGCAGGTGTTGAATAAGCACAATTTGAATATGATGAAAAATAATGACGGGGAAGTGTTTTGGGCTTGCACCAAGGCTTGTTACTTGGCCATTCAGAGCTCAAAGGCATCATCCCGGGTCCCTTGGGATAAAGATGGCCCAAATGGCCCGACTGATCCAGTCAATTCGGAAACTATCCTCCTAGAGTGGCTCCTTACAGCCAACAACTACAGCAATTACCGCGGTGGTAACGGTAGCAGAGGCACCTCAAAGACACAGTACTCCCACCAGATCTCAAACCTGCTTAAAACAAAAGGAATCAATATTGAAAGAACTGCTGAACAGGTTAGAGACAAGATTGGAGGAATTGAACGAGCCTATAAGGTTGCACGGGATTTCATGTACACAGAAACTGGCGTTGGCCTGTTGGCAACGGATGAAGGCAGCTTCCAAGACCTAGTAAGGAAAAGGTGCAAGAACTTTTTCGAACTAGAACCTATTTTCACTGACCGTGTTGGCATTTCACCTGAGACAAACGAAGAGATGCCGAATGATGGCTTCGGTGATGTGGGAAATGATTTGGCAGACAGTGACGATGATTCTTTGCTTGATGTTATTGGTATGGTTGGTGGAAAGAGTAATCCAGTAGCAGAAAACAACATGGAAAGTCCAAGTGCTTCGACCGCAACTCGGGTGACCACTCCAAGTAGTACATCAACTTCCGTTGACCAAAGAACTCCAAGGCCATCGCCAACACTGGCAACACCCACCCCACCAGGTAAGAGAGCCCCCCCTCCTGTTATTTTAAAACAAAAGAGCCCAAATGCTTCAAAGAAAAAGCAAACACCTGGTGATCCGGTCATCATTTCTGCAAGAAAACGTATCAAAGAGGAGACCATGGAATCCTTTCTTCGTACATCACAGAGTCAGCTGGATGAGGAAGGGAGTAAAAAGCAAAAGCGACATGAAGAGAATGTTGGGCTGAAGAAGGAGGAGATCTCACAACGGGAGAAGCACTTCCGTATGCGATTTGAAGAGGAACAAAAGGTATTCAAACGTCAGGCCATTGCAGAAGAGGCAAGCTTCAGGAAGGCTTGTCTCGCCGAGCTCCATGGCCTCTTAGCTGAGAACAAAAGCGACAGATACATCCACTTGATGCATCCACATCTTGTGGATATTCTAAAGCAGTTCCGGGAGTTGGAAGAAGATGGAGAAGTCTAATCCCCCTACTAGTTGTCCTTCGTTTGTCAAAATAGTCAAGTAACTGATAACAATAGTCTAATTGCCCCTTAATTCTAGGATGTAGTTTTTTAGTGGTGTGCGACGAGTGTCCCCGGTTGCCCAATCAGGAACTGGCTGGTTCAGTTCGTCATCAGGTGCCAGAGGCTCTTGGGACGTTAGAGTCGATTTGTCATCATCTTCAAACATGAAGTCGTCCGGGGTGGTTTCTTCAATGAGGAAATTGTGAAGGATGATACAGACTCCAATCATTGAAATGACTCGTCTCCGCGAGTTCACATCATCGGTGATCTTATTCTTTATTGATTGCAGCCAGGGGAACCTACCCTTCAGAATTCCAATAGTGTGTTCCGAAAGCACTCTTGGACTGGCGAGTGCTGTATTAAAAATGTTTTCATCATTTTCCAATGGATGACCGTCAAAGTTGCGGAATGCTGCAACCATGTGTTGTGAGCACTCGTAGGCAGAGTCCCCCAACATGTACTGCAATTCAGAGAAGCGCTCTCTTGCATTCCGGTACAGATCACTGTTTTTCCAGATACGGTTGTCATGAGTACTACCAGGCCAACCAGCAAGATAGTACCGAATCCTCTTTGTGTCGTCACAAACAATAGGGACAGAGAAACTGTAGCGACACTTGCGACCAAAATAGTCGGGGGCATCCTTGGACTGAGGTCTGAAGAATAAAGGGAACAATGTCCCGTCGATGAAGCCAACGCAGTTTGGAAACAAATACTTTTCCATTATTCGCTGTGCTATCTCCTCTCTTTCCTCCGCGTCTGGCCAATAGACATAGTCATCTTTCAAAGACAAAATTGCTTGGATGATCCTTTATGTCCATGGTACTGTTAGAAATTGGATCTAGTAGTTTCAAAACAAGACAATAACAGCAATACATACCTTTTCCGGAACAAGTTTGCAGTTCCGCGTGAAATGTTAAACATGTTCCTGGTTTGAGGATCGGTAGCTCCCAGTTGTCCAACAAAGAATAAGAACACCATCAACTGATATTCGACTGGATACTGCAGGGGCTTATCATCTCGAGTTTTAAATATATCACAGTCTCTAATCTTGTCCGCAAGCTTGTGGAAGTTCTCTCTTGACATGCGGTACTTCTGCAAGAATTCTTCGCTGTTGAGCCACGGCTGAACATCCCCATTGTAAATTGCGTTCATGTCTCGTTCGAAGATAAAAGTTGAAGACTTTCGGTACTTGGAACGGTACAGGTAACGTTTGGACTCCAGCGATCTTATTCGCCCAAGCAGAAGCAAGTCAAGACGATCAGCAGCAGCGTTCGTCCGTCCGGTTATCGTTCGAAGCTCTCTTTGAGTGACACGCTCCTCTAGCGCTTCCCAAAGGGCTTTTATATGGATGGCTTTCCTCGACCTCCTTGGCATTGTTGTTTGATGAAAAATGGTGTACTTGTAGGTAGAAGTTGCTGTCTGCAAAAGGGAGAAGAATACAAACGACTCTCTATCTTCGAAAAATATAGCATGACCCAACTATTCTTTTTTTACTTTGGGCTACGTTTACTCAAAATTGAACTGTTCCACACGATAAATATAAAACATTGGACAGAATTATAAATCTTTTATCCCGCGAATCAATTATCTCCGGGTCATTGAAGACCCAACTATAATATAGTTGGGTCTCTTTTCGGCACAACTATTTTTTTTCTTTCTGACCCAAACCAACTATTTTTTTTTTGCTCGACCAATCACAGCTGCCAAAAAAAAAAAAAATAGTTGGGTTGGGTTCATTGACAACCCCTATTAAAAGTGGTCTTCAGGCGTGACAAATAGATAGGATATACCGGTAGCTGGGTCAGAACCAGCTTGTCACATTTTTGAGGACCAGACTGGCTGTTTTAGCCAACATGGTGTGATATACTGAGTTTC